TTTGAGATAATCATTAATTGTGTCCGAAGTGTACCAAGATTTAGGGGACTTAAACGAAGGCGCGTTATACTGATCTAGTGTGTTTGTGTTCTGATCATTCGTCACTTCTACAAGAGTAAACATATTTCAAAACTTCTCATAAATTACTTAAGCTAGCTAAATGGTTTAATATGAGTTAAACTTTTCCTAGGTTTTGGAATATAAGATTAAAGACAGTTAAACATAATATGTGTTATGGNGTTTTGAAATATAAGATTAAACATAGTTAAACAAAATATGTGTTATGGATGTTTCTATGTGAAATAAATATTAATGAAATCAATAAAATAAAATAATTTTATTTTACCTATTTCTTTCTTTGGTATTTCATCAATTTTGACAACGGACACGGCAGGTAACACGTCATTCATATTTGAAGGCGAAACTTCAGAACTAACTTTAGACTCTAAAAAATTAATATATAAAAATAGTGCTTAAATGTTACAATAAACTAATGAAAGGTCAAATTTTTAAAATAGAATTATTTTCTACTTTTTATGATTTTCTCATCTTTTTCGGATGATTTTCTCTTTAAATTTGGGCTTTCAGAAGATGAGAACTCTTGTAGTTGCTCTTTTGCTCCACATTTTGTGGGTTCTAAATGAGTTATTTTTTCTTCTGGAGTTTCTTTTACTTTATCAGTAGACACTTCTGGTAATGTAACGTCATTTGACGTTGTCGCATGTAAAATTTCAGAACTAATTTTTGCCTCTAAAAGTATTTATGTTTTAAAATATAAGAAATTAATTTCAATAAACATAATATGCCAGTTAATGTTTATAAAAAAAATTATTGTGTACTTTTTATGATTTTCTCATCTTTATCGGATGACTTTCTTTTTAAATGTGAACTTTCAGAAGAGGATATCTCTAGAAGTTGCTCTTTTACTTCATATTTTGCGGGTTCTAAATGAATTATTTTCTCTACTAGTGTTTCTTTTACTTTATCAGTAGACACTTCAGGTATTGTAACGTCATTTGAAGGTTCATTATTAGCTTCTAATTCTTTAAGTATTAAGAGTTTAAAGTATAAAACAATTGTTTCAATAATCGAAATGTAGTTTAAAATTTTTTATGTACTTTTAATGACTTCATCATGTTCTTCGGATAAGTTATTATCTATATTAGGGCCACCATTATCATTGGAGGATACTTCTATGGGTTGCTTTTTTTCATCGCTTTTGTTGCGATGCAAATGATTCTTATGAAAACTCTTAATGAATCATTAGAACATATTAAATTATAGGATAAATTTTAGTTAATTTATTTAAAAAATCTACTATAAGTCAAAAGAAATGTTTAGGCTACATATATATTCTATTAAATATAAAAAAATGCAGAATACAATTTACTTTTCCTAATAAATATGCTGGTATTTTTGGTGCTTTGTCATTTACAATTGGTATATAACTTTTTTTGGCTGGAACTGATAGTTTCTCTCCATATTTTCCAGATTTTTGATTCCTAACAAGTGTTCCTATATCTCCTCGCTGTATCAATTTCTAGGCGTAACCAATGTCAAATTAAAATGAATAATTGTAATATAATTAATATGTTATTATTATCTTCCATAAAAAGTCTCTTTTCTTTTAAAATCTTATTGTAAATCAAAATGATTAAGATATTAAAATTGAAATTAATTAACATCTTTTACTAATATCTCTAAAAATAATACATTTATACAGCTGCTCTAAATAATAACAAATATTATTACAAATATTATAATTATTTCTACTACTTTGTGAGGGTCGATATATCTATACAATTTCAATTACCACTTTTTCTGCAATAATTTCATCGCTTTCAAGCTGTTTACGATACGTACGTTTTTTTGATTTATCTGTATTTGTATCAGTGGTTATATTTACACTAGAATTTGCTGTAAAGAGAATATTATTTTAAAAGTTATTAATTAAATAGTTAATTTTGAAAATGTTTACGGTGAAAAAATGCATTAGCGTAGATATTATATGTAATCTAATGTTTATAATTTACTGAATATTGAATACTATTAAAAATTTTTTTAACTACAATAAAAAAATAATCATTATTTACAAAAAGAGAATAATCTTTTTTAATTTCTTGTTATATTTTATATCTAATCGTTTTCACGTCTCTTGATAATTAGTTTAATTTATCTTAATAGTGTCTACAGTTATTAATTTCACCTTTAGACTGTCTTGATGTTTGGGGATCTTCTGGACTATCAACGACTAAATTAGAACTCATGAAACGACGATTCCAGAATTCTTCAATTCTGCGTTTCACAACATTCATATTTGTTTCATAAATATGACTATCCGTATTGTTTTCGCTTGCCATATTAATAATTAGTTAAATAACTCTGAATACTTACACGAGATTATAGCTTATTTTGACGAGCAAACACGAAGTGATCCCAATGTCAACATAGACAACGTTTATATATGATAAAGTCATGATTGTCATGGAGAGTTAATTCGTTGAATTCTTTTTTTATGAGCCACTTAAATATTTGAAATTAAAAATAATTGTTAATCAAAATCGGTCCAGCGAGAGATGAGATTCAGTTCCATCATTAGCTTCATTTTGATTTTTTAACTTAGCTACTTAAGTATGACATTTTGTCATATTAAAACTGATAATATTTATTGTATTTTAAGAAAAATGATTACATTTGATTTTACCATTAGAAAAAAAAAATCAATTTTTCATTCTATACTAACGTTTTAACTATATTAAAATTATTTACAAGTTTGGATCAAAGTTAAAAAAGAACAATAGTTTTTTTTGTCCTACTCTGACAGACAAATTGTACTTTTCATTAACATATTGTATTGAACTGAATTTGTAGAAATGTTAATAATAGGTGCATTGTCTTCCTTGCCCAAAGAAGGAAAAATGCCAAGATTTGATAGTTATTTTAGGATTACAAAATTCCATTAATTCTGACTAAAATGGTTTAGTATTAATTATGATCTATTGTATGTAAATTATCATTATGCCAGTTTTATTTAAGTCTTCTAGTATTTAGGCATTGACTCTAAAAAATGTTTACAGTTTATAAGAAATAATTGAAAAATTATTGAAATTAAGGCATTCATGTAGCTAAATTGCATAGCTGACACGCCGTTTCATATCACGATAATAAACAATGGGTTTAATTAAATGGGTATTAAAAAGTTTATTTACAAAAATTTTAATTAACATACTTTTAATTTATATTGATATTAATATTTAAATAAATTCAGAGTTTTATAAGTTTTTTATTTACAATTATCATTTTTGAAGTGATCTTACCAATTAAGATGATTTTTTAAATTAATTTTAATATTCGATTTCAATTTTTAATTTTTTCTTTAACATATGTAATTACTTTAAAATATTATAATTATAATATGTTTAAGTGCATATTATAACTTATAAACATAATTATTCTCATGATGATAGAATTTGGTTGGAGTGAGACATAGTTCAACACCTGTAAATGCAGATAATGAAAATAGTTATGATGTGTATGATAATAAAATTTCACTAATATTTTATATTCAATATAATATTTCAGTTTTTTTATTTATTCAAAATAAACAAAATTTAATACTATATTATTACAATTTGTTTATTATTAACATTATATCACAAAAAAGCTTTATAGGTAACCCAACCAAACTCTTTGATGAATTCATTAATAAAAATTTTACTTACACATTTATACATAATTAGTTGAGAAATTAAGATTTTAGGGTAGTAAAGAATTTTAATATTTATTGGCAGATCATATTTCTATAATACTCATCTGTAATTTCATAGTTAATTTTGAAAAAAATTGAAATAGGAGTCATCTAATTAATAAAAGTTGTTCGGTCATTTTTTTAATACCCAATTTTTAATTTTATAACTTTTGTAATAATTTCAAAAACGGCTAAACTAAAATATTTTGTGAATTAAAATGAGTTGATTTATATAAGATTATAAAACTTGAATAATTTAGGCTATTAACAAATGTTTCAATATTTGAGGTTGCAATTAAATTTATAAAATAACTTGCATATATAGGTAAAGAAATACTATTTAACTTTTCATTATTTTATTTTAAAACTAACACCCCACCATATTGGGAAGGCTAGAAACTACCTTGCCACTGTGTAAAAGCTTTAACTAACTATGTATTATTTAGTCATTCACTGCGCACGTTNTCACTGCGCACGTTAATTACCTCATTTATACCACACTTTTATACCAACACTCAATATAACTAAATGACATAAGTTATAACTAATAATTATTAAATCAAATTTAAAACTAACCTTAGGTTAGGTATAAAGAAATAATGTTACTTTTATTTGTTACATTCAAATTGATATTCAATTTAAAAAATTTCTAGAAATATTTAATTAATTTTAAGTAGATTATCAAATAATTATTACCCATTTTAGTTTTTAAATTTATGTTACAGTAAATTTATTTAATTTTAGTTTTCAATGACTGCTTTCATTTCCACAATAGGATATTATTTTAAATTCTAATCCAATACAAAAGTAATTCACACCTGAATTAAGTTTAATTTTCATCATAATATACAAAAATAAAAGTAGAAGAAAATAAATATTGTAAAAGCATAGAACTCTACATAATTTTTCTGCGCTTTTCCAGTTGTAAAGTAAATGTATTTATCACATTATTAAAGTTAATTTTTTGTTCTATATTGTGCTCAATGCTCAATATATTCAAATTTGATACGTTCTTGCTCAAAGTCATTTTTGTCTCCAAACTGTTCACACGATTCATTTGCACTACATTTTATTTTTAAAAAATGTTCCTCATTACAGAAAGATGAAATATCTAATAAAAAATGTTGAAACCATATCATGTGCAGTTATTAAATACATTTTAGAATTTTGTAAATAATTTGATAAAATATTAGCTTTTCCAAGTATATTGTTCAATAAAACTAATGAAAACTAAATTTAAAATTCACCATTTGAAAAAGGAATCCTTGTGCTTTTGAAATAATTTTTAATTTTATATTGAGAAGTTCTCTATCAGCAATTCACTGTAATGAGAGAATTTAATGAGTACAATTTCTAACAAGTTTATGTACACCGAGTCTATTACACGTTTATGACTTCCCCATCTTATCTCTGAAATTACTTTAGTGTTAATACTAGGCAATCAATTTTCTTATGTTCTTCTTCAAATGTTTTTAGTCATGGTAAACATTGTTCAATTTAAATGCGGGGGTATTTTAAATAGAGTGATTAATGCCCGTATTTTTAAAAAAATTAGTTCTCTCGTGTTATAATTCAAAAATAAAAGGCAAAAATGTTGGTAAAATATAAATAATGAAAATGAAAGATGGGAGATGGGTATTTGGGTTTAGTGAGAACCTGATGTTGTGGTTCTATCGGGGTCGTATGGTTCTAGGGTTTAGAACAATAAAGACAAGTAGATATGAAGAAATAAAAGTATGTCCTCTTTATTGAGGAATATGAGCTAATGAACTTGTAAACACCTTTAATAGGACACTGAGGTAACGGGGCGGTAATCCGACCCTCAAATACCCAGTCGAAGTGTCTATTAATATAATCAAATACACATTAGGTTTTTAAACTCTTTTTAGGCACGGGGCGGTAATCCAAGACCCTGTAATGTGTATATGTAGTAGGTGTGAACAAACTAGCAAAATAACTCTTGATGTTAAAAGGAGATTATAGATCTATTGTTTTATCGTTCTGTAATAAATATTTAGCACTTATAATTTTATTTTATTTGTATTTTTATAATGATGGTTTTTTTTAATAAACCGCATTATAATGAGAGATGATAGATATAAAAACACCAATACCTGTATGAAATATTAACGCAAATTAGTAGAACAATAGATTGCGCATAGATCTCTCTAAATTAATTAACTAGCCAATGAGAAGCATTGTGCAATTAAAATAATTCTCCCCCTCATAAAACAGGCCTATAAAAGAGCAATTTCTAGCTCATTCGTCACCTCATTTTTAATCTAAAAAAAATCTGGTCATTAAGCGTTTTATGCACCAGATTGTTTCACGTTTGTGCTCTTTCTTACTTAAAATTTTTTTTTAACTTGGTGTTTATTATCTAAATCTCTCATTAGTAATGTCATTTTAAAAAAATAACTTAACCTTTTTATCTTTTTATTTTTAGTTTTGAATATTTATAAAATATTAAAACAAATTAAATTTTTATTTTGTATTTTATGAGTTGTGTCAATTAAGAATTTTTTTGATTCTTTAATTGGATTGTCTATTCAATAAGTGCATTTCGAAAATCTACCTTAGCACATCAAGTGGCTAAAACTGTTGGTAAAACAATGGTTTATGGCGTGTCACTAAGGAGATCGTAGAGTGTATCTTAAATTTGAATAGATAAGTGTTTGATTGATTGCATAAGGTGCTGATAGTTTGTTGAAATCATTACCCTAGCACATCAAGTGGTTAAAACTGTTGGTAAAACAATAGTTTATGACGTGTCACTAGGGATTGATTCTCATATTCTGTCACGCTCTTTTCGGCAAGTAGTTTTAGACTCTGTAAGGTCCGTGCATCGACGAGTATATCTCCGATGGTGTAGCCAGCCTGTCTCTAACTCTGTCGACTCTCATATCAAACACACAATTCTATAAAATACTGATAGTTTATTGAAGTCATTACCCTAGCACATCAAGTGGTTAAAACTATTCGTAAAACAATAGTTTATGACGTGTCACTAGGGATTGGTTCTCATAAGCTATCTGGTTATATAATTTTTTTTATTTTAAAATATAAAGTAACACATATACTCAGACACCAAGTATAAAAAGGAACTACAGTGAAGTAATATTTCAAGTTTAATAATTTGCATAATTTTACAAAAATTAATAAGTAGATAAAAGTCAGTGCTCTCTTTTATTTATATTCTTTTTACAACAAACGATCAAACTAGCCGGACACAAGGTAAGAAATTATATTTCTAAGCATGTCATAAAATTAAGGATAGACTTAAGATAAATCAAGAATAACTTTTATCGAGGGAATAATAGAATTGTTAAAGGTGGATAATTTGAAAAGTTATGAATAACTACTTTCTCATCATTTTGATCGTAATAGTACGTGTTCAACGTAAATGTTTTAACTTGTATTATAAATCTATTTAAAGAAAATAATTCAGCCATTAAGGCTTGGCGCCCAACAATTGGACAGTAGCATTTTACGTGAACACACACTGTTTCCCATTCATATAGCATGACCAATAAATATTAAGAGTCGTAAAATCCTCCTCCGTAATCATTGCATATTTCATTGTAGAATTAATATGACTCAGGTGTGCGTCATCCGAATAATTTTCCTTCAATTTACTTTTTACGACAAACCACGTGTGGTGGTAGTATCTTAATAAAGAGTTCATGGATATATACAGAGTGATGNAATAAGTAAATTAAAATCAGTGTTCTTATCATATTCTTTTTACAACAAATGACCAAGCTAGCTGGACACAAGGTAAGAGATTATATTTCTTAGCATGTCATAAAAATTAAGGATAGACTTAAGATAAATCAAGAATAACTTTTACCGAGGGAATAATAGTTAAAAACTTAAAGAGGGATATTATTAATAACTACTTTCTCACCATTCTGATCGTAATAGTACGTGTTCAACGTAAATATTTTAATTTGTATTATACATCTATATAAAGAAAATAATTCAGCCATTAAGGCTTGGCGCCCAACAATTGGACAGTAGAATTTTACGTGAACACACACTGTTTCCCATTCATATAGCATGACCAATAAATATTAAGAGTCGTAAAATCCTCCTCCATCAAGTATCTTAATAAAGAGTTCATGGATATATATATTGTATGCTTTATTTTCACCTTGTAGCTAAACGTACTTCAACAATCCGTTAACCATAACAATTATATATAACATCTATATTCTATTATTATTCCTCTTTCTTAATTATAAAAAAATATAAATATCACACATATGACCTGTTGCGTAGAGTGTGGCACTCGTGTATGACCGGTTCGAACGTGTTAATGATTGGTCCGATCATCGTTACTTCCTCAGCGAGCGACACATCCTCTTTGGTACGTAAACAGTACACTCGTTCTCGCGACTACGATCTAATAGTCGTTCCTCAACAATTAAGTAGTGCGTTATCTTCTCTCGTATTCACAGCAAACGCCTCCGCGTGTTTGTGCTATTGATCGGCCATAGTTCGCCATATCTTTATTGTTTATGCTCATACGGTTGCGTCTTACATGTTTTGTACTGTATATCCGTGTAAAATAATCCTTCTCGCATATTACGAGTTAGTGTCATCGTTCACGTCGTCATCAACGCTCACATACAGTCCACACTCACCACCATTAATTACCATCTTAACTTATACAGCTAAGTGTTTAATTGTTTGTTTTATTTATTTTGTATATTATCTATTTTGTTCATGGCCGCTTTGTCGGTCAGTATAATATGTAAGTTACCCCCCCCCCTTCCCTTTACTTTTAAGAATTTCATTTGCAGAACTGTAATATAATTCGTAATTTATACAATCATAAGCAGGTGTACCTATTTATTATCCCCTCTGATTTCCGCATTTTGATTTCAACAAAATAAACAACACCATCGCACAGTAATAGGCCATTCCCCTTTATTATTAAGGGGCTGCTTGTTACATGACCAATTATTTTATTTCCTTCATCATCCTTCATTATAATAATCTCTCTTCATTCTTTTTATTATTATAATTAATATCTATATCTTTTTACCATTTTCTATGACAGTNAAATATTAGCTTTTCCAAGTATATTGTTTAATAAAACTAATAAAAACTAAAATTCAAATTCACCATTTGAAAAAGCAATTCTTGTTCTTCTGAAATAATATTTAATTTTGTATTGAGAAGTTCTTTATCAGCAATTCGCTGTAATGAGTTAACAATTTCTGACAAGTTTGTGTACACCGAGTCTACTACACGTTTATGACTTCCCCATCTTATCTCTGAAATTACTTTAGTGTTAATACTAGGCAATCAATTTTCTTTTGTTCTTCTTCAAATATTTTTAGTCATGGTAAACATTGTTCAATTTAAATGCGGGGGTGATTTAAATAGAGTGATTAATGCCCGTATTTTTAAAAAATTAGTTCTCTCGTGTTATAATTCAAAAATAAAAGGCAAAAATGTTGGTAAAATATAAATAATGAAAATGAAAGATGGGTTATGGGTATTTGGATTTAGTGAGAACCTTATATTGTGGTTCTATCGGGGTCGTATAGTTCGAGGGTTTAGAACGATAAAGACAATTAGATATAAAGAAATAAAAGTATGTCCTCTTTATTGAGGAATATGAGCTAATGAACTTGTAAACACCATTAATAGGACACTGAGGTAACGGGGCGGTAATCCGACCCTCAAATACCCAGTCGAAGTGTCTATTAATATAATCAAATACACATTAGGTTTTTAAACTCTTTTTAGGCACGGGGCGGTAATCCGACCCTCGAGACCCTGTAATGTGTTTATGTAGTAGGTGTGAACAAACTAGCAAAATAACTCTTGATGTTAAAAGGAGATTATAGATCTATTGCTTTATCGTTCTTTACTCAGATTATTAACTTTAAATAAATGGGATAATATAAATTGACTTACCTTCGTATTCTGTAATGTCCAAGAAGATAAATGAAGTATTTACCAGAAATGCCAATTTTTACTCAATATTACTTATTTATGGTAATAATGTCTTTATAGACTAAAATAAGTTTTAAACACAAATAAAGTATACAAAATAAAATAACTCAAACTGCAGCACGGGGCCGTGATCAAAATGTAAGAGCAATAGTAGTCCGTAAAAACGAACTAGTTAGCTGGAGCTGTGGCTCTCTGGCCTTAGCCGTAGTCGTGGCTCTCTCTCTTTTCAATGGATATCAGTGCTTTTTATAGTACTGAAGAGGTACCCCCATATCCAGGGATATTGCCGTTTGTGTTATTCATGATTATATTTTATTGTTTTAAAGTATACATTACATGATAATTATATTGATAGCATAGTTAACAATAGATGAGTTGACATATATGTAAATAATAAGAAATTGTGTTGAACATTGTATTTGTTATGACAGATAAATTATTTGTTTGTTTACAAGTTATTTAAAATACAGATTATACTTTTTTCATTGATAATTGTGAGATGCGTAATGCAAAGTATTAAGCATATCACGACACTCGCGTTTAAATACCTTTTTAGACTTCATTTTATATGTTTACCAAAATAAATATTTTATTTAAAAAAAATATATGTTAAGCCTGGTTCCAATTATTTGTCTAATTTTCGCACATAAGGCGAATACTGAATATTCGTCTACCAGCATAAGTAGTCAAATATAACTTTATTGTATATCATTGTCAAAGGAATTTACCATTTCAAAATATCAGTATCTATACGCTATAAAATATTAATCGTATATAATTTATATAATCTGTGATAGATGTAACATAGATAATGCTAATGTTAACATTCTTTGGCCTGTGCAATATATTGACTTTAATAATATCATGTACACTATTTCAACAAATTCTATATTTAGCTTTGAAATCTATCTGCTTGTTATCATTGTTAAATTGCACTTTTTCTACATGGAAAAATAAATCTGTATTGTAGCAGAACTGTTATTTTTTTTTACTTTTATATTAATTTGTTGATTAAATAACGAATTCAAAATTATTTGTTATCTTTAATCCAAAAAATCCTGAAACAGCTGTGACTCTATGGCTTCAATCCTTCATTTTAATAGGTTGAATATTTTTGTGTATGACATAATTATTGTTCAAAAATTAACTTTAATTATTTGTTATTTATATTTATTAGTTATGTTGATCTAGAGGTCTTAAAAATGGAAAACAAAACATGATTCTCATTCTAGTACAAAAACTCATTTAACTTGTAAATAACTGTTAAAAAACTGACACTGTTCATACCCAGATAATAACTCAATCTAAACTAAAAGTTGCCGCTAATAGGGAATATATAGTCTAATTAACATAACAATTTATTGAGTATCCAAAGAATGGACTGACACAATAAAAATAATTCATCATTAAATCAACGTAGGGAACTAATTTAAGCAATCTTATCACCTAATAATAAGTAATTAAAACTAAGAAGATATAATTATTAATTTCTTAATAAATCATTTTTCTTGGAAAATTTCAACGAAACTTGTGTTTTATTTTCTATGCATCTACCAAAGTTTTCTGAAATATTCAACAAAGAAACAAATCACACTAGTCATCATATTCAAAATTAAATAATTGAAATATGTGCAAATAGAATAAGAGATTCAATTGTAGAAGACATTAGTTAATAGACTTTTAGTATAATGTTTGATGAAGTACGGTAAAAATNAGAGATTCAATTGTAGAAGATATTAGTAAACAGACTTTTAGTATAATGTTTGATGAAGTACGGTAATAAATTTAAAAATGAGCATTAATAAAAAAAATATACAATTAATAAACACTAATATTACTACAAAATTTTTGCTTTATTTTTAGATGTTATAAAGAAGAACAAATGTTTTATATTATTTTAAAACTTGTAAATTAAATACTAAAGCTCAAATAATTTCACAATCTTATGTTTATGCTAACATCATATCTGGAAATTTAATGGAGTCAATCAAAAATTAGAACTAAATTTTCAAAAGCGATTATACTCATTGTATGTTCACAGAATAAATCTTTTGGTTGCAGATATGAGAAAAAATATTAAAGTAAAAACCAATATTAATAAAATATATTTGTTTTATTAAAATATTAAACATTTTTAGGAAACTTTAAGTTTTTTTAACATGATTAAATGTGTATATGTTAATTTTTCTCTTCCCCAATGAATTGTTAATTAGTTGAATTGGAAAAAAACTTAGATATAAAAACAAAAACTGTAGGTTAATTACTAATTACTAATTACTAGATTGAATTGTAAATTTAAAAACTGTGAAGCCATTAAATAATGTTTCAAAAGTATTCGTATTGTACTTAAAAGAGAAATAGAAAATGAAGCTTATATAGATGTCAATAAAGAAAAATGTACAATTTATAGACTACTATTGTTTTTATNCAATGAAGCAAAATGTACAATTTATAGACTACTATTGTTTTTATCTAATTGATGTAAATTTTTTTATAATATAATTGGTAATTTCTATAATGGCTTACTTTTTTTCTTCCAAAAATGTTTTATGAAATGGATAAATTATCTCTCAAATTTACTTTAGCCATTCTATTTCTCATAAAAAACATTATTTTATAATATAATTACTGGTTAATTGTTAATGTAATAATAGTAAAGTATTCTTGATTATTCAAAGTTACAGTTGTCATAGAAACAAATGACTTTAAAAATACAGACATTTTCTTAGTAAATTTGAGTTATTTTATACTTTTTAGTAAAATTAATTATCTTTTTTCTCGTTTATACGGATTAATTAATTATATTATTATTGATTATTTTTATTAGTAAGTGATCAATGTTTGATGGAATGTACGTTAAGTCATTTATGTTGATACAATTTGTTTTAATAAAATTCAATACAATTTTCAATAGTTATAAAATGCAGTACAATACATATTGTTTGTTGTTTAACTTTCAAATTTATCTCTGTCGTAAGTACATTTATTAAAATATTTTGAAATATCTGAAATTTCAATAAATTACCAAAAATATAGATTTTTATCAAGGTAATTTTTACTTTTTATAATTAAACTTAATCCAGAAAAAAATTACTTTAAAAAACTATTACATTTTATTAATTTAAAATTGCATTGGTTAAATTGTTAAATAATTGCTGTTTATTTATCATGTATATTTTAACAACTGTTCATCAAAATGAAATTTTATTTTATTTGTTATATTCCCTAATTATATTATATACTTTATTTGCATATTAGTACCAATAGTTATGATTACTAACAATAATAATATGTAAAGAGGGTCAAGAATAATATAGAAATCTATTTTTAAATAGTAATGATTATATTGTATTATAAAATATTATTATTTTTTAATTAAAACAGTTGAAAATTATGTATATATTCATTGATGTACAATTCAATTTTTTTATTTTAGTATTTTTTGAATAAAAAAGTTTGGACTCTGCTAAATTATTAGTTTTAGTGATTAATTTTTTGTGATATTCAAAATCTGATATGTTCCCAATATTATAATATGAATTTTTTCATAATTTAATTTGTACTTTATGTAATGGCTTACTATTTTTCTTCCAAGAATGTTTTCTAAAATCGATAAATTTATCTCTCAGATTTAACGTTGGCCATATTATTTCTCTTTTTATTAGCTATTATTATTATTATTAGNATTTTTCTTCCAAGAATGTTTTGTAAAATCGATAAATTTATCTCTCAGATTTAACGTTGGCCATATTATTTCTCTTGGAAAAATATTGAGAGTCAACTTTTAGCTTTTATTAGGTACATATATTTCTTTAATAATCTATAGCTGAATATTTTTTCTGTATACTTTTAATAATAATAAATTTATCATTTTTTTTTTTTATTACAATAAACTAATTAATATATTCTTAACTTAATTGAATGTAATTCAGAAAAGTTGTAAGAAATATTATATCAAATGAAAGCTAGATTTAATAATTCAATTTGGCTGATAGAAATATCAAAGATGTTTTTTAATAATTTTATGTTTAAATCAAGAATTATTATCTATGTAATAATTTTTAAGTTCATCTCGAATACCTTGTATGTATGTCAATATTGTTTTTTTAAATGAGAACACCAATTTTTAATTAACTACTTGCTAGTATTCTTGTTTATTCAAAATTACAATTAACATAAAAACAAATGACTTTTAATACACATTGACACTTTATAGTAAATTTGAGTATTCAATGTTTCATGGAATGTACGTTAAATTTTAAACGGTGATGCAATTTGTATTGAAACGTATTGCAATAGTGCTTTATATCGCTGTTAAATATAAAACTAATCTGGTTAACAATTTCGTTGAAACTTTTCTATAGGCACATCTAGAATAAAATTTCAGTTGATGTTATTATTATTTTCTCACCCTAAAGAATATTTTTATACAAGAACACACATATATGCTACATTTTTTGTAAGGTTAATATCTAATAGCTACTAGTTGCACCTATACAACTGTATGTATTAAATTTTTGAGATATACTTCACTACAGTTTAAACTACATTAGACTTTTTTCCAACTTAAAAAATGTTGAATACATACATTATTATATACGAGATTTGATATCATAGATAAAAAAAGTGATTCACATTAATTGATTGAAAATATTATTTGACTATATGAAATTTAAACAAAAATGTTGGTTCTTTAATTATAGATACCTCTTTTTTTATCATAACCTTTATATACAAATATATATATATTATATTTTGTATATTGTATTATATATAGAGTTTTCAGTAAGTAAGCGAACGGCTTTATATTGTTCTCATTGTTGGAACAATTGGCTTGTTTCCTTATTTACTGAAAACTCTGTATATATACATATGAATTTGATTTTGAGAACTGCCTATAGAAAGTCGTATTGATATATGAAAGTTTGTTTTAATTTATATTATACTTTCAAAACAAACGATGACTTTAATCTTATAATATAGAAATAGCGGGCTGTACATAGTTTGATATATCGAGACAGTTATGTCACTAGTACGCGCTATAAATTTACAAATGAAAAAAAAAAACTGGCTGTACTATGCTAACATTTTCAGAAAGAAATGTCGCATGTACGAGTTTTAACATTTGTTATAAAAAAGTCATTTGTTATATGTATCTTAAATAAATTGATACATTCACAATTATTTTACAAGGCTATTGAATTGTGATAATTTTAGTGGTATCTTTAATCTAAGAACAGAATGTTTTTATTTTTATTTCACATAGTCAAATAATATTCATATTAAAAACTGCTTTTTTTTTTTTATTAAAAACATTAAATTTCTCGTACGTTATAATTTATGTTATCAATATTTTTTTGTGGGTAAAAATTCAAATGAGATATGATGAATTTAAAAATCTAGTACATTTAGATATATATGTGTTCTTATATAAAAATAAATTTTGGTGTGAAAAAGTTATAATAACAAATACCTAAGGTTCTACTTTAGTTTTAACTATGGAAAGATGCCGGGAAAATTGGAAACCCGTTTAGATTTAAATTTAACAGTGATTAAAATCACTATGTTAAGTCGTCTCATTAAGAATGTGCCCAAGATGTTCTGTATTCGTTTTGAAACTAGTTTTAGGACGAATTAAAACTCTTATTTAGTATGGATCATTAGTATAGTTAATAGAAATGTATCAATTATGACTTTTTCAATAGAAATTCTTAGTGTATGATGATAAATCATATGGTTGTTAATTAATAATACATCAACTGGCATTACAAAAAGCACATCTATTGATAAAGTCACAATTGACCATAAAAGCTGCGTATTTTTGAAAGTGACGTTGTAAAAAAAAAATTTATTTACTACTTAAATTTAGCAATTTCTCGTGTATTAAATATATATATATTAACTTTAAAAATTGAAATTTAAAAGTTTTATATCTAATAAACGTATAAAGTTAATTGTCGAGCTATAATATTTACATAATCAAAGTTATGAAAAAAAAAAATAAATGAATAAAGCTATGTTAAAAATTTAAGTTACATTTACTATTAAAGTTAAATGTTGAACATTTTATTTAATTCAAAATATGTATTTGAAAAAACAAGTTTGACATCTATACAAATTGTACGTGTTTACATTAAATATTAATATGTGAAATACAAGATATAATGATTATAGTGCTATCATTTTTGCCTAATTTATGTAATTGAATATAAAATTTTAATGAATTACTAAATTTCAATGCTGTTCGTTTGTAGTNTGAATTACTAAATTTTAATGCTGTTCGTTTGTAGTTGCTAATGATAATCTACAATATTTTAAGTAATGATTAATGTCGTAATATGCTCAATGCTTTGCATTACGCATCTTACATTTATTAATGAAAAATTTATAATCTGTATTATATATTACTTGTGAACAAACAAATAAATTATCTGTCATAACATGTACACTATTCAACACAATTTTTTATTATTTATATATATGTCAATTTATCAATTATTAAATATGCTATCAATATAATTATCATGTAATCTATACTTTAAAACAATAAAATATAATCATGAATAACTCAAACGGCAATATAATAATCATGCAATGTATAATTAAATATAATAAACTAAAAGGATCACTAAAAGCGCTGACAACAATATCCCTGGATTGGGGGTACAATCATTTTATTATAAAAAGCACTGAAATCCTTTCAGATTTCAGTGATAGAGAGAGAGAGGGAGAGAGTGACGAGAGTTCGCTTTCTCCTAATTCAAATAAGAATAAAAAAGAAACAATTATCAGTCACAGCCCTGTGTGGTTGTCGGCTGACTTTTCGCGTCTTATTTATATATGAAAAGAACTTATTTTAATTATTTATCTTGTGACGAAGTTTGAATTAAATAC